AACTCTAAGAAGAGCATCCAGCAGAGAACACATGCCCATAAGTGGCATTTCTGCCACTGTGCTCTGACTGTGTGCCAGGGGCCGTACAGGTTCGCCCAGGTTCAAGGAGCCTTTCAGAAAGCAGCCCTCTGACCTTAGACAGTGAGATTCTACTACAGAAATTGCCACGCCAACTCAGCGCACAGGGTGCCAGACCCTGGGTCCACACACAATAGGAACAAAGCTCAGTTATGCCTCCCCAGTAACTGCCTATATCTGGAGAGAAGTGGCCCGCAAGCACACAGGAACCAGCAGTTTGGCAGGAAGTCTGCATTCTGCAAACCCCAAGGGCAGGAAGTCCACACACACCAAAGGGTCCCCACCACACCCTGTGAGAAGGAAGGGCCAGCCAGAGTGGATGGGATGGGTTGTTTCCTCTTCAAAGTAAGGCTTTGAAGAGACGCTCCAGGGCAGTCAGAAGCAGGGTGACTAAGGGCACACACATGTTTCTCACAGCCACCCAATTCCTGACCTTAATGTCACTTAATAAGGCAGGCCTGGAGTCCTATCTGCAAGCAGAATTGCAAATCACTTGGCTGGGACTCCACATAGGAGGTGGCTTTGTAATCTGAGCAGTGTGTCCACTAACAACTAGAGCGAGACCATTAAGTTCATTACACCTGTCACTCTGCCAGCTGAGTCGCCGAACGGCCATGATAAAAGTACATTATGCCCAAGGAGTGCCACCCAACCCCCTCCCGGACAGCTACACCCATCGACAGCAGGCAATTTGTTCTTGGTGTCTGTACCTGCATAAAGAACACAACTGTAAACAGCTTGGAAACATGGCTGTGGAAGACCTCGGGCTCTGAGCAGCGATGCGTGCTTCACCTTCCTGGGAAGAAGAACACGGCTATAGACCAAGATGGAGATAGAGACGGACAGCCTAGTAAAAAACATAGTAAGGAGGGGCAGAGATTTGTTAAGCAGATTCTGCTGAACAACCCCGAAGGGGTGAGAGGCACACACCCTCTCCACCTCTCGACCAAGTTCCAGCACTCCTGGCAGCAGGCAAGGCCTTCTGGGCAGCGGCACCTTCCACCAGGCCTCGGGAGCAGCACATAGCCAGCTGGGCTGCACAGTGGGTTTGCAGGGCAAGCGTGGTGCAGACAGCAGTAATTTATTTACCCCTGTCATGGAACATTAACAATCTGTCTGGAGCTTGGCAAGCACCAACTTGCACTGTCATATAAACTGTCTGACAAACTTAAAAGTTTCATAAATGCTTCTCTTTCCCCAACAGACAACAAAGCATCATTTAAAAAAAAAAATAAGTTGTTATCTTTTCTGTCCCATCGCTCTCTTCCTTTTTCAAAAACTAAGGGAGAACAAGAAAGAAAATCAGCCACCAAAGAACCCACCCAGTCAGAAGTGACCTGTCAGTGATCTCCACCGCCTCACTGGTTTCCCAATACCAAGTAAACAAATGAATGGGGTCAGGAGGGGGGCAGTATGGGGTCAGCTGTGAGGGTGCCGGGGTTACTGAAGAAAAATCTGCAAAACAAAAATATCGTCATTAAAAATTAATAAAGGGTGTGGACATCCAGCCCCCACCTCGCTCCACTCATGGGAATTTGAGCCAGACATTCTGCGTCCTCGTTAAGTGGAAGCTGGCAGGCTGTCAGGGTTTTAGTGGGTTCTGGGAATGCCAATATATTAACCAGAAGACTTTTTGCATACCCTTCAGAGTTTTTATTCTAGAAAAGTCAACCATTTGGCACAGTAGAGCCTTATTTTTGTCCAGGAAAGCTCTCAGCTGCCAATCAAGAGAGAAATTACAGCTACGTTCTTCATAATTTCCAAGACCTAACTGGAAAACAAGCTTGGTGGAGAGAAACAGCTTAAAAAGGCCAAAGCACCACTTTTAGGAGGAATTCAAAGAAAAGCAATTCATATTTAAATCAAATGGATATGTATCGAAACAGACATTATTCTCAAGCCTTCCTGCAACAGAGGAAAACCAGTATTAATTGGAAATTTGAACCCAACAGAATCCATAGCCATGAACAGTACAGGTGCTTGCTATTTCCTTTTGTTGCCAAACATGAACACAAGCAATGGCGTACGTGTACACATGAGCCACATGCACACACGCATGTGTGCATACACACACACACATACACACACACACACAATCTCCCCCAAAAGTGGCAGGTCTTGGGGTTATAAAATTCAAATAATATGCAGAATTCCTGTTCCTATTTTGTGGGGTAAGGGCATGCATGTGTATGTGTTTATGTGTGTGCACACGCATGTGCGAGCCAGAGGTCAACATCGGGTCTTTTTTCAATCTCTCTCCAACTGTACTTTTTGAGTCAGGGTCCTTTCACTGAACCTGGAGCTCGCCAAATCATCTAGACTGGCTGGTTAGCAAGCTCCAAGTATCCGCTCATCTCTGAAGCTCAGCACTGGTGTCTACATGGGCACCAGGGATCTTAACTCCAGTCCTGGTGCTTACGTGCCAAACATCTGACCGACTGAGCCATCTCCCCAGGCCCAGTTTTCTTATTTTAAAACTCACAATTCACTTCCCGTGTATACTCATAATATAGGTCAAGATGTAATTCCCATTTAACGCAGCCCATGCTGGCAGAAAGTAACTTTGACACCAGAGAAATAATGGCTTCTGAGAGGCTTTTCTACCAAAAAGGACTAAGGACACAGAGAACAAGTGAGCCAAAGACAGATGGCGGGACAGAGAGGAGGTAAGGGAAACATAAGAACACCACAGTTGGCCACTTCTAACAGCTACTACCCATGTCCATGCGAATCATGTTGAGTAACGCCAACATTTTTTAGGTTAAAATGCTACACTCCTATTACTTCCCCGCTGTCGCTTTCAACTCTGACCCCAAAGGAGAAATGTATGCTGGAGACTCCACAAGCCCAGATACAGTAGAAAGAAAAAAAGAGACATGACCAGGGGTTCTATAAAGATTTACCCAATCTACACACTTTCAGGTATTCCTGCTCAGAATCCTCCCGGTTTGGGCTTTATATGATGACATAGGACAATCCTACATACCACTATAAAGTGACTGACAATGTGGGGTACATGCACAGGGATCCAGAGTTTGGGGGTCTTTACTTAGCAGCCAGCCAGAAACTACCCACAGGGAGCAAAAGTCATCCTTCCCTCTCTTTGCTTCCCTGCCAGGTGAGGAATCCACCCCTCCAGCAACCCGGATAAAAAAAACAGACAGTGACCCATGAGCTACAGGGCTGCTCTGCCAGGCTGCTAAGTCAAGCAAGACTATACAGCACAGACCCAAGCTGTAAACACCTCTGCAGACAGGTCCTTGCTCTCAACACGCCAGGCAAGAAAACTATTCTTAGAACAGTTAGCAGTTGGGGGAAAACAAATATTTGCCTATGGATGTCTATATTCTAACGGTGAACGGCGGGGAAAGGACTGTGGAGCCTCACATCATATGCCAACAGATGGCCACGGAATCACTCAAGAGGCACCTGGCACTGGCTGGGCGCCACCGAGGGATCATGGTCATGAAAAGCAAGCACCCAAAAGGACTCAAAGATAGCCAGCCGTAACTACTACCTGCTGGCTAGAGTCTGCTCCAACACAAATACAAACTTACAGGAACTGGAACCAGAGACATGGGCAGTGAACTCTTCCAGGGGTAAGAGCAGAACGCTAAGACACTAGAGGGCTTTGTTGTTGTAGGAGTTGTTGTTGTTGTTGTTTAGACAAGGGGAATGGTAGCTACAATTCCATTACAGTAGTCCCGGCTCCAATTCTTAACTGTGTTCTACATTCATAGTAAAGTTGTGTCTTAAAGAATTAAACTTCCACAGGGATGGCAGAAAACAAATATTAAATGTCAATAAATACATGTGGATAATATTCAGACCCATTCATTGTCCATGTCATGATTCAAATTTGACATCGTTCCTTCACAGAACATATATTCTATATTCCAAAAGCAATGTGCAAAGGCAGAGTCACGATGCCAGTGAGCCGAATTTACACTCGAAGACTGTAGCTTCTCTCATACAAAACGCGGGCCTGGCTTGGCGTGTGTATTCTTCATAGACCCTCCCATGAAAACCAACACACAATCCTGAAGGCCCAGGTTAACTAGAGATAGGAGGATAAAGTATGGGGACACCCGAAACAATTAATAGAAAGAGCCATGGTAAGTGAGCTTGGCAATGCTAACCCAGCATAGGCCCCTGCTTTTTGTACCTGGTGCTGGGACTGAAAGCCAGGACCTCAGCATCCTAGGAAAGCCAGCTGTGGGGGAACATTACCTCCCCACTCCAGCACTCTACTCTGAAGGTCTAGCAGGACTCACCATCTCTATCCCGGTCCACCTCTAACACAGTTCTTGAACGTCACACCCCAGTGTGAACACACAGAAGGTCACCAATAAATATCACAGTCATAATTAATTCTAACTTTTAGTGAGGAGTTTCAGGGATGGCAAGATGGCAAAATAATTAGAAAAGAAGGAGGAAAAAAAAAACAAAGAAAACAGACACAGAGGGGGAAAAAGCCAATCAAAATAATCCGTTCTAGCTCATTAAAAGTCTTAGTGGAAAAACAGACCACTCCGCTGACTGATGTGGCCACTGACACTCAGCAATCGCTCCTGTGCTGGGGCAGAAACTAGGAAGCCCCACTTGTTTTAACGAGTTTCTTGCTGTCCTGACTGGCCAATGCAATGACTCTCCAGGTAACCCGGAACAGACACGCCTGGTGTGGGCTCTTGGAATGACGCCCACCCACCATTTACCCCTGTAGTCCTGAAACCTCTGCACACCGAGAACCCTCCAATTAAAAAAGAAAGAAAGAAAGAAAGAAAGAAAGAAAGAAAGAAAGAAAGAAAGAAAGAAAGAAAGAAAGGCAGACAAAAGTTTAAAAACAAGCAAGCAAATGCTCTCTGTGGCACCACAGCGAGTTAACGCACAGAGAGCCTACTGTCTCCCAGCAGCGTACTCACAGGGCGCGCCCCCAGCCGTGCCCAGACGGCACGCGGGCAGGGGTCCCGGGAAGCCTCCTCCAGCCTGTGGAGCGCAGAGCCCACAACAAAGACAAGTGCAGAGCCCGGCTGGGTGCTCTTCGCTTCCTGTTTATTCCACCGTGAGGGTCAAAGAGAAATTCAACACACGCCTGCTTCCTCCCGGCCCGGAGACCCAGCCTAAGTGTAACAGCAGCCGCCCCAGACAATCGACTTTGCCAACCAATGCCAGGAGCCCCGGGCAGCCCGCGGCCGACGTCAAAGAGCGCGGGAGGGGGGGGGGGGGACCCGGGGAGACAGTCTGAAGGCTGGGAAGCCTGGAGCCCTAGAGCCGGGGCGCAAGGTGCAGGGGGAGGCTCCCGCGCCGCCTTCTCGCTGCTGACCTCCAGCCCCCCACGACTGCAGCAGTTCGCACACAGGCCTAGGAGCGTCGCCGCCTGGGGCACGCACCCCCGCGCCCACCCGGACCGCTGGGCACTGCTGGATGAAGCAGCTTCAGCGGGACACTCTACAACACCGGGTCCCGGTCGGCAAGACTCTGCCAGCCGAGCGCTCCGAGGATGGCCAAGCGTCCCCGGCCGCCCTCCGCGCCCACCCGCGGCACTGCCTGGCAGACCTGGTGAGCGGGTCTCGGGGACGCCGGGGCTGGCAGGGCAGCGGTCGCCGGCGCTGGCTGGCGGGCATCCCGGTCCTTTGCCCGCCCCCTCCTCCCGGCTCTGCTCAGAGGTGAACTCCGGCCAGACGCAGAGACCGCGGCGGGCGGCACTCACCTGCAGCAGCCCCTAGGTGGGCGAGCGGGACCGCCCACCGTGCAGTTCGGCCACCGGCCCTGCGGGCTGCGGGGGAGGGGCAGCGCTCCGGGTGGCGCGACACGGCGCGGCGTGGCTCTTTAAGAGGGACCTGCCACCGGGCTCCCGGAGCTCCCCGCCCCCCTTTCGCCTTCTCAGGACTTGCAGCCTGTCTGGCGGCCGCCGCGGCTCCTCCCCGGCTCGCTGGGGATCCCCGCCGGCTGACGGGAGGGAGGAAGGCAGGAAGGGAGAGCGCCGGTGCTGTCGGGCTGGGGACCGGGTCCCGCCACCGCCACCGCCACCGCGCCGAGGCCGGGTCTGTCTCAACTCAGCCTCGGCCGCTCCTCCCCCGACTCTGCGGCGGGGACCCGGCGCGCGGCCAGACGGCGGGGGCGGGGGGCGCCGCCGGGGATGCGGCCCCGCCCAGGTGCACACCCGGTGCCCCCCAGGCTGCAGGACCGGAGCTCTGGGGGCGATCAACGCACACCCGGGATCCTGAGCCCGGTAAAGAGCCTGGAACTGGGGTGAGAGGGGAGCGCTCGCTGAGTGTAGGCCACGGGCGGTTTGGGAAGGGGGGGGCACCTACTGCCTCTTGGGTTGTAGATGCCCACCCACAGCGGAACTTGATCCAAGGCTCTCTTGGGCACACAGTAGGACTACAGGACAGTTAGTGGGAATGGTTAAGCGTCTGGGAGTCCCCTCTTCCGGGCTGGAGCGAATCCTCCGGACTCCCTGGTATCATGCCCTAAAGCGTCTGGACTGGGCAGCTGGGTGGATCCTTCCTCTAGGAGCTATGACCCTTTTGCCCTTGAAGAAAGACCTCCAAGTCCTACGAAAACTGGGACAGGACCTCCACTGGCGTGCAGACAATAGATCATCGGTTCTCCAGAAGTACCAGCACAGACACTGGTCTACCCAGCCATGTTTGATGGAGAGTGATCGCTGCCGCCGCCGATTTAATTGCAGTCAACACAATTAGAGAGTTCCTCTCTGCCAAAATTCTCCTCCCTGCAGACCGTTAAGACACGTGAACCCAGGTTTCAGGTTGGTCTAACAGAGACGGAAATTTAAAGGAGTAACCGTTTCCAACTCTTCCCCCACTCCCACCTCAGACTTCAAGGATGCCAGAGAAATGACTGTTTTGAAATCTGCAGTTAATGTATCAGTGACTTTTCCATTCGTGGAATATTCGTTCAGTTTTTCTTATGACTTCAGTTCTGCTCAGCCATCATAGCTATCCAACAGAGTTTGTATGTGATCTAGTAATGGCTACCACAATGGAGAATTGTGTGTGAAGCGTTTCTCACAGGTTGCTTTTATTTAATCCCCACAGTGACAGCGAACTAGCTTTTCTCCACTTTACAAATGACGAAGTTGAGGCCGTGAAACATTTGATGATGTACCCCCAACCACAAAGATAAAGGTTTAGCGTTGCTAACCGGCAACATCCAACACTGGGTGTTGAATTCCCGTACCATACCGCCACCTACCTACAGCAACTGTCACATCCAGTTCTGTTCCTCTCAGTCCACGCACAGCTGAGACAGACATACGGCTTACAATGTCCAGCACTGTGCTGGCTCCCAGGTAGGAATGCTCGGGTCCCAGATAATACAGGCGCACTATAGGGGAGAAGGGGCTTGGAACCCAGCTGTTCGGCCAAACTTTTTTGTTTTCCGTTTCAGCTGTTGCTGCTCACATTCTTACATGTGTGTACAGCACGTTACAGTCATGGGAAAACTGGAAGTACTGAGATGGTTAGCTGTAGGTAAAATTCATTATGGTTGGGTTAGTTTCAGTGAGCATCTCAGTCATGCACGGTCCACTCCCCAGAGCTCAGGCGGGAACTTAGGAAAGCAGGGAGCCTTGTTCTGCTGTCTGAGGAGAACGAATATTCCTAGTCACAGAACAAAATACTAAGGACTTCAAAAGATTTGGGACAATGGACGGAGCCTAGCAATGGGAAAGACAAGTAAACAATATTGAAAGATGATATCTATAAAATATTGAAAGATGAATAGAAATAAAATGAAATGGTTTTTTTTCCAGGAGAAGGAAGTGAAGGAGGGGGGACATCTTTCTCGTTGTCAATCCATTGCAGTTCATCTTGTGTTGATTAGCCCTGCCCATATCTAGTCCATAAAAGGTTACTATCCCATCATCTAAAGAGATAAAAATAGAGCTGGAGAGATGGCTCAGAGGTTAAGAGCACTGACTGTTCTTCCAGAGGTCCTGAGTCCAATTCCCAGCAACCACATGGTGGCTCACAGCCATCTATAATAAGATCTGGTGCCCTCTTCTGGCATGCAAGAATACACGGAAGGAATGTTGTATACATAATAAATAAATCTTTTTAAAAAAAGGAAAAAGAAAAGAAAATGACTCGTCGCTAGTGGGCCAGGTCTGATCCAGGAGGGATCCTAAATAGACTAGTCTGAAGAGGTTGCAGTCACATTAATCTGTAATAAGATGTGGTGCCCTCTTCTGGCCTGCAGCATACATGCAGGGAAAACTGTATACATAATTAATAAATAAATCTTTTTTAAAAAGAGATAAAAATAGAAAAAAGATGAACAATTGATTAAAAAAAAGATCTAAGGGCCCCAAGTGACCAGAAGATGAATGTGAGTGAGAATATGACTCTGTTATTCAGCTCTCATGCATAACATTTAAATGAAACTTAAGCTGTCCAAAATAACCCAGACTACTCGTTGTGCCTTTTAAACCAGAGAAAAGGCGATAGACAGAGCTGCATTGTGGGTAACTTCAGTCCTGGAGAAGTGAGTCTACACACTCAGAACCAGAACCTATGGATGAGCAGGTCCAGGAGAGCATGGCCTGTCCCTTGTGTCTCAGTATCAGGGTTTCACCTTGCGGCCAGGATGGCCAGGCCTCAGAGAGCAAACTAGAAACTGGAGATGGTCCTTCTTGGGATGCTATATACTGGCCATCTGCACACACATACCACTCCGGCATATGTCTGCCTCTGTGCTCCAGGCTACACACACCTACAAGATCCTCTGTCTTCAGAATTAGTTGGGATAAAACCTACACAGTTTTTGTTATTGTTGTTTTGTTTTGCTTTGTTTGGAGACACACAGAAGGAAAGAGAAGGGGAAAAAATAAACCGTTGCCTCAAAGATGATCCATCTAAGCCTGTTGTCGGGTTCGTTTTGAGTGTGTGTGTGTGTGTGTGTGTGTGTGTGTGTGTGTGGTGTGTGTGTGTTGTTTTACTTTTGGATCTTGGAGGGTCCGCCACCCAGCTCCCAAATAAATACACACACGGAGTCTTATTCTTCCTTATGAATGTCCGGCGTTTGCTTGGCTTGTTTCTAGCCAGAAGCATAAAAGAATGCAACACATCTTTGCATCATTAAACAAATGTTCCAAAGCATAAATTAATACAGCACATCTTAAAATAATATTCCACAACCATAAACCCACTTGTGTATGGCATCTAGGCAACATTAGCAAAGGAATGAAAATGTTCCTAAGTGATTTGCCACTTACAAATGAACATTCCAGTACTGAGAATTTGTGAGGTCCTCCTCAGAGCTACGCATCTTCTCCGTCCGCCAGGGCCACAGCTGCCTCCTTTGGTGTTGGCCTAGCCATGTGGGACCTGTGTTCTTGGAACACCTTTCTAGTGAGCTCTAAGGTCAGTCAGGGTGACCAGGAGAGAAAGTTGTGCGATATTTGGAAGGAACAGTACAGTGTGGTTCTTTGTGAAGCCCCTTCTCTCCCCCTTGACTTGACATCCGGGGGTCTCCACCAGGTACTCGTCCTCGGTGTCACCAAGTGCTATTTGGGTGTAGGGAGTGCTATCATAAAGGTTCTCAGCCTTTCTTTGTATCTTCGGCATCACTGGAGTTGAACAGACAAAAGGCAGGCCAGGTTTGTCTGTCCTTATGGCTCCACATTGCAGCCCTGCCCCAACCAACTTCACAGTTTCTCATCCCAGCCACCAGCTCGTACCTCCCTCAGCAAACCCAGTCCCCGTCCTGCACAAAGGTCCAGCTTTTCTGGTAAACCCTGACGGAATAATGCCGCTGTGTGCCTCGCTCCTGTCTTGGCTGAAGACTGGATAGAGTCTGCCTCTCTCGGCATAGTTCTCCCGATGAGAGGATGGCCCATCGAAAATGGTGAGCTACTTGAACAGTTGCTTAACAATGAAGAATTCTAAGTGGCCAATAAGCACGTGGAAACACGCCCCAACTTTTATGGAACTCATGAATAAAATTTCCACTGAAATAGATAAAATTTCAAAAACTGACGTCTCTTAAATGTTAAGTTGGTTGGGGTCCATCAGAATTTGTGTGCCTGGCAGTTCCTCTTCCAGGGCAGGACAAGAGACGTGAGTTCAGAGGACCAAGAAAAGACAAGAGCAAGAAACTTTCTACCCGTCTAAAATGCAAAAGGAAAAACTGGAAACAGCCCCACTGCCCCGAGTGCATGAAGGATAGAGGTCTAGGT